GCACGGGGTAGGACCGTCCGGGTGACAGGCCCGGCCTCCGGGCCGCGCCAGCTGCCTTTAAATTTGGGGAGCAGCCCTGCGAGAAGTGCACCCAGACGTCCCTAGGGCCTCTTTGCAGACAGACGGCTCGCAGCTGCTGGAGGGGCCGGGCTGGGTGTCCCTTCCGTGGGAAATGGGAAACTGCGAACGCACCCGAAAGACCCTGCGGTGTGGTAGTTCCTGTCAGTCCGACATCCGACTCGGTTGGCGTCCTGAGTTAACCAACGTTAAATGGAGCCCCGAGAGTCAGGAACACAAACAGCGCTCTCTGAATTTGCGTATGGTTTCACCAAGGAAAATAGGGACATTAGGTGCCCTTTCAGGAATAGGCAGCTTTAGATCACAGAGGATCCGATCCAGTTCTCCCGACCTTGATGAATGAGGATTTCAGGTTTTTTTCCCCTTCCTATACTTTTTTTTTTGCTATTTCTGTGGTTTAATCCTTTTGAAATGTGACCTTAGTTTTTTTCTTTGAAGTCCCGCACAGCTCCCGTGCTGGCAAAAAGTCGATGTGCATTCGATACATTGCGATAATAGAGGACTGATTTGTCTCTGATGAGATGGTAGGGATTGTCTTGATATTGGAGAAATAAATATTCTCCGAAGAACTGTCAACAAGAGTGACTTCCAAGGGTAGAGCGCTTGCCTGCCCGGACCAGGGCGGGCCCAGGCTAGAGTCTGGAAGTGGAACAGGTGATTTCTCTAGTTTGAGTTACCTGTTCTTCCCCAATGTCCTCTAAGGAACGTACACCGAGACCTGACTGCCTCGGTAAAACTAGCACTAAACTAAACCAGTTAATGAGAGGAGACAGCCCTTCCTAAGGGTAGAGTTGTAACTGGAAGTTTGGGAAACTGAAAAATAACTTGGGATAGTTGAGTGGTCCTCAGTGAGGGAAATGTTACATCAGAAAGTAGATAATTGGGTCATTTAACTTTCAGCTTTTAGGACAACCCTGGATACAGACAGATATCCAGTGGTAAAAGAAGACACGACAACTGCCTGTAAAATTTTATATATTTAGTTCCCATTTCCCCTTTGTCTTGCAGTTTAATGTGTTCTTGTCATGTGTTCTGCCATCATTGGCTTTACTTCTTAAAAAAATAGCTGCCATTTATGGGTCATGTGCTGTGGCTGGGACTGCTAATCATTTCCAGTGTTTCTAATCACAGGGACCAAATGAGGTAGAGACTGCTGTTTTATGGATGAGGTGACTGAGACTCACAGAGGTTAAGTGACTTGCCTGACACACAAAGCCAAGGTTTGAATGTTCTTAAAAAATTAAACATACCTTTATTTAATATTTTAAAGAAATGTACACAATGAAATGTCAATGAAAAGCTTACAATAAGAAGCAACAGTCCCCTGTCCCACCTTTCAGTCCCCCTCCTCAGAGACTTTTACATCTTTTTGTTGTTTCTTCAAGTTCTTAATAGCTCTAAATGATAAGCTGGTATTAATTTTACACGTTTTTGACTTGGTTACGATAGTATGATCTAACTCTTTGTGTCATATTCCACCTCTTCTATCCCCTGAATTCACTGTGCTCAGTTAACTCAAGTTGTTATACATTGTTTGCTTCACAGCCAAGTAATGCATTTTCCTTCTAATACAGCTGTTTGTTTTTTCTATTGTTTGTAATGGCCTTTCTTTTTCTTTGCATTTCCGGCTTCCATTGACTTCTTACATTGTTTTAAATTCTCAAGGGTAGTGTCAAATCTTTTCAACTTTCCCCTTCCTCTCCAGTCCACTGTCTTCTTTTTCTAATCTGGATTGATTTTTCTATGCCAGCAGTGGTATCATTCTGGTATTTTCCTTTGTTATACATATCTGGGTTTGTTCAGGGCTTCATATTTTAGTCTTGGTTTTCTTCATTTCAGTGAGAACCTTTGACCAAGTAGCCTTATTCCTTTAGGGTAACTTTTTAGGATCCTCTTTGGTTTTAGGACATTTCAGGAGTCCCAAAGGATGTGCTCTTTGATCCTGGGGGCTTGTCCTTCAACTCTGGGAAAGTCTCTTGTATTATTTATTTGAGAATTTCTTCTCTTTTGCTCTTCTCTTTTCCAAGTTCCTGTTAATTTGGTGATGGGCATCTTGACCACCTGAATCTCTTATCTTTATCTTCTTCCTGTGTCATTTTATTTCTGGGAGAAGGCTTCAATTTATCTTCCAATCCTGTTTTAAATTTTTTATTTCCATAATTGAAATGTTAATTTCCAAGAGTATATTTGTTCTATTCCTTTTTCATAGTAGCTTATTTTTTAATGCATTATCTTCTTTACACTGAGGATACTAGTAAGGATTTTTTCATTTTTTTTTCTGATTTCTTATTTCATCTAGTGTCACTGTTTTTTTAAAATACTGGCTTCTTGCTTTGTATGGCAAGTACTCCTCAATTATTGGTACTTGTTATCTAAAGCAAGAGGAAGGTGGTAGATCTGAGTCTGTGGGGTTGGTTTTGAAAATGTGTGGTTTCCCTTTGGGTGACTGGGAACTTGTTATTGTGCTTGGAACTTGAATGCCAGATGGCTAAGAGATTTGCTCTGGGCCTTCCAGCATAAGACCCCTTTGATTGGGTGTGGCCCGCTTGGTCTAAGGGGCCCCTTGTACAGCTCTCCTGTACCAGGACTGTCTTCCATGTGCAGGCGCAGACTTCGACCTCTCCTTCCCAGCATGCTGCAGGCTTACAGCCCCCCTTTGGTTGTACCCACTCTTGTGTGCTCCACATTGCTATTCCCTTTGCTCTCTTTAGATCCTGTTAGTCTGCCAGAAATTTGCAAAATCTCTTGTCTGCCTTCTTATTTTCTTTCTTGTGGGTTTATTATGTGCTATTAAAATAATTTTAATGGGATGAGCAGAGATCACGTGTATACCAGTCAGTTCCTGATTATGAGCAGGAATTCCAGAACCTATTCTCCTCATCCCTGTGCTCCTCTTTGATGCCTCCCAGTGGCCTAGGTGATGATGCCCACCATCAGTGGGACCTCGGTCCAGTCACAATCACCATGGCTGCTTCCTTATTGCAAGTGTGGGAGGATGGTGTGCGTTCCTTGTGGAGGTTCTCCTGGCTCTGCAGTCTTGGAGAGGGTATCAGGTTCAGCTGGGGAAGGCTAACCATAGATGGGTCTTTTAGCAAAGATTGTGATTTCAGATTCTTCAGTCAGTTTCACAGAATATCAGTGTACTAAGAGAGCATTTCTGTGTACCAAAGTTTAAGGAATGACTCTAGTTAAGCAGTGATGACTGTACTCGAAGTGTAATCTTGATGCGTTTTAGTTGATTGTTCTTTGAAAGTTGTGCACAGTAGAATGCACCAGCTGTATTTGCCAAGGCCTTGCAAGTGAAGTGGTCCATGGGCCAGGAGCGTCACCATTACTGGGCATTTTAGAGAAATGCAGACTCTCAGGCCCTGCCCAGATGTATGGAATCAGAATCTGTAGTTTTATAAACTTAATTTTTACAAAAGAGTTGTAAAAATTGTTTAGAGAGCTTTCCTACTCCCTTTACCTATCTCCCCTAATGCTGACATCATACATAATCAAATATCCGTAGGAAAACCAGAAAATTAACATCGGCATGGTATATTAACTAAATAATAGACCTTATTGAACAGTTTTCCACTAATGTCCTTTTTCTGTTTCAGGATCTAATCCGGGATCCCACTCTTCATTCAGTTGTCATAGCTCCTTAAATCTCCTCCAATCTGTGATATTTATATAGCCCCAAAGTATATCTCCCAAGAAATTTATAAATTGCAAAGAGAAAATTAGTAATATCACAGTGAAAACACCCAGCAGATACCACCTTAACATCATCAGTAATAAGACGTAATGATATGTAACCTGGTATGATGCACTGAAACATACCCTCAGATGAGAAATGCATATGCTCAGTCTAATCATGAGAAAACTCATGAGGGACATTTGCCAAATATTGACTAGTGCTTTTCAGAAGTGTCCAGTTTTGTTTTGTTTTTTTGGTGGGTTTTTTTTTTGCTTAAATTTATTTTCTCACAGTTCCTGGAGACTGGAAATCTGATACCAAGATGTCAGCAGGTTTCTTTCCTTCTCAGGCCTCTCTCCTTGGTTTGCAGATAGATGGCCACTTTTCTGTGTCCTCCCAGAGTCTTTCCTCTGTACATACATGTCTGGTGTCTCTTTGTAAAAATTTCCTTTTCTTATAAGGATACCAGTCATATTGGATTAGGGCCCACCTTAATGGCTTATTTTAACCACCTCTTTAAAGTCCCTGTCTCCAAATACAGCCACATTCTGAGGCACTGGGGCCAAAGTTTCAACATGAATTTTGGAGAGACACAATTATATCCATAACAGGTGACTATGGAAGATTTACTTTTCTTAAATATTTTCTACAATGTTTCTGTAATGTTTGAATATTTTACAAGGAACCTAATTAAAATATAGTTAGATTCTAGGCTTGGTCATTATAAACAGATTTTCATTTACACAAAATGTCTTCTGGGCATTTGAAAGTCACGAGGGATGCCGGACAATTCTTTGTTGTGAAGGATCAACCCAAGTATTACAGGGTGTACAGTGACCCCTCCCCACAACAACTGCCAGTAGCACCCCCTTCTCCATTACTTTGGCAACCAAAAAATATCCCTGCAGTTTCCAAAAACAACTCCATTGATCATCACCACTTAAAGTATAATTTTATACTAATATTTGCAAACGTTTAAAATGTTTTCTCTCTTTTACCCCTTTTAAAAATAACAGGAAGAAGTCATGCTAATTACCTTTAGCTATGCCATTGGGAAGGTTGTGTCTTAGTCTTGGCAGAGTTTCATGATAGCTAAAGTTGTCTAAAGACAGATAAACCTCTTTTGCTGCAATTTATTCAAATTGCAGGCATGATGCTCAGGAGAAAATATAATAGCAAATGTTTATGCAAGTTCATTTATTCTTTATAACAACCCTGTGAGGTAGTCATTATTTGATATTTAAAGATACAGGCACAGGAAATTGGAGTGACTTGTAAGTAATGGAGCTGTGCTTCAAAGCAGGCAATATGGCTTTAGGCTGTCATGCTTATCCACCACAGGGTACTAGCTCTCCCCTACTTAGCGCTTACGGGGTGCTTGAGTTAAGCACTTTGCAGACATGGCATGTGATCCTCACAAAAACAATGAGATTGCTGCAGATTTGGAAACTAAGAGGCTCAAATTTCTTGGGAAACAGACAGCTTTATATGCACATAACTTACTAACATGTACAAAATAATGGCAAAGTTATTGCCACAATCAAAATGTGGAGAACCAAAGAATGGTATGAATATATTTTCCATAATTTATTTATTCCATAATTATTTAACAGTCAGTCACTTACTGAATTTTCTGAGGTGTTAAGTAACTTATTATATGATAAGCTGTATTGTGGAGAAGTGATTTATGTCATATTGGTTTTCCCTAGAAGTTAATGAAAAACAATTCAATTGGACTAATAGTAGTCCCAATTTTGTGAACTGGTATTTCTCTTCTAAAACAGAAGTAATATTGTGACAAATCCAATAAAAGGCTTTATTTTTATTTTGTTTGTTTGTTTTATTTTATTAGGAGAAGGCAGTTCCAGAGATTTTTGAGGAAACTAATTTCCATGCTGCATCTATACCCCAGATTCTTGGACCATCACCTAGTTGGTGTAATTGTTAGTATCAGCTGAAGTAAAACCTTACAAAGGCTATCAGGAAAAGCATAAAAGGCAAATAGTAATGGTTTCTAGCACATGCACACTCTCTTTCTTTGAGGTTTAAAGTTGATTATGAATACTTTAAGAAATAAATGTCAGGTTTTGATATAATTGCAAAAAATATGTAAACTTAATAAACTTTTTCTGCTTTCTTGTGGTATTTCCCCTCACCAGATAGTAGTCGGGATCTTTTTCTGATCCACTGTTTTGAATTAAGTGCATTTGCTTTTTTCCCAGATTGATTTTCAGGATAAAACACACAGTTCTTTTCTTAAAAACATATACTTTTCCTAGATATTTTTCTTTTATTATTGTAGAATAGCACATCCACATAAAAGAAATTTCTGAAAAAATCCCCCTCTAATCCTACCACATTCATACGTTATATATCTGAGAATACTTTTCCAGTTTTTATCTGCAAAAGACACTTTTTTACATAATTTGTCTACATATGAACATAACATTTTCAGTGACTTTTACTTAAAAATATGAGTTATTTTCCCTGTTTCTGTAGTTCTCATGATAACCTGTAATGGGTGTATAACATTTCTTGAGTGGATGTATCTATCATAACTTGCTTAGCAGTTCTTTTATTGTTGGTCATTTAGGTCGTTTCTAGTTATTCTCTGCTCTAGGATGTGGCCTGGAGTAGAAGTGTCCAGTCTTGAAAGATGGGGAAAGACTCAATTTGCATTTAAAAAAATTGCCAGGTGTTGTTTATTCACTTTGGTGCTGAAGAATACCTCCTGTGCTAGATGGTCACCAAGGAAATAAGAGACAGTGAACCACAAACCTTGTTTTGTGGATTGGTTATTTAGGTGTGCTAGGCACAGATTCTAGATGAGTTTTCATTAGTGATTTATTGATAACACCTGTTATAGTTTATTAGCCTTAGTTTTTCCTTATGATCTTCATCTATACTGTATGTATCCTGAAAACATTAGCTATACAATTAAATATGTTACATGACAGTGCCAAACTGACTTTAAAATGCCCATGTAACTTTACTACTTTAACTATTTAAATCTGGAAACAATAAACATTTTCTCATTTTGAAGAAAAGACTTCTGTGGGGAAAATACACATTAAGGGTCTCAATGAGAATGTCTCAGATAAAAGCTTTAAAAATTTTCCCTATACTAGAGGTAAATAAAAATCGTTATTGTTTTCTCTGACTTCATATATATGGTGGTCGTAAAAACAAAATCACATAATGAATTGTTCATCAGAAGTGCTCGGAACCATTCTGAAATGTTCATTTTGTGGGGATGTGAGGAGTTTCAGGGACTTTGAGAGCAAATATTGAGTGGGATCACATGGATGCAATTTGTTCTTAGAAAGCTATACTTGTTTTCTTGTTCATGGACAGTTTTGGAGCTCAGTTAGCACATCACAGATGAAGAAAATCTTAGCAGTCATCTCTGCCTTCTCAAATAGTTTTTAAAATACTTAACTCTTAGGTTTCCCACTTTTCTCCTGTGCAGGATGTGAAACCACTTAAAGATGAGAGCTTCAGCTACTCATTTTATGCCCTCTGCCTTACCTTTGGCTCTGTCCACTGTTCAGGGCTGTGCTCAGCCTGGTCCCTGGGAAGAGAGGGTGTCTGTCCTCAGTCCTAGAAGGTAAGAAGCAGGAGGAATGCTCTTGACCCTTCATTATCTCCCAGTGCTTTGGCAAGGTTGGGCATCCACATCATAGTGCTCCACAGTAAGTCTCTCGGAAGTGGAGCTTGGCATCCGCACCTAGAGCCTCCCATTGCTTGAAACCTGTGGATAGTCTTGAATTAAAATATGATGGAACCATTAATTTCTTAAGCTACAAGTAAATAGTTTGCCCAAAATACTGTAAAGTCATGAAATTGGTTCCTACTTTGAATTAACTTCTCTGCATCTTTCACGTTTACCCATAGTTAAGAACTGTCTGATATGATGAAAATATTTTGGATCATGTGCCTCCATGGTGGGGTGACAGTAAGGTTTGCATTGTCTCCTTAAGAAGCCTCACATTTGGGAGGGGGAGGGATGGTGGTGATGTGAGTGACTGGGTGTCCCAGACCGGTAACACACAAGGTCTGATTGCTTATAAGGCATGAGCATGGGCAAATAAAATCTGTCAGAAAAGGCCAGAGGTGAAGAGGTGAGAACAGGTTTTTTAGTTAAATCACTGAAAAAGTTGATAAGTGAAATTTAATGTGTGGAAATTGACCATCGTTACCTTGTCCTTTGGTGTTTTGTATTAGCATTTTAAATAGTTGAAGATAAATAATGCATCAAAAATGAAAGTTGAGCAGAAGGGCCTAGGTAGGGGTGGAGGCCTGGCTATTTTGGCCAGAGCACTATCAGGAAACCTGGGCCTGCATTGAGCCAGCCAGGCTGTGGCCTCTGTGACTGGGCAAGAGCCCTGTACTGACAAACCTTTTAGTAATAAAAAATTCAGTTCAAGCCCTGGCCCATGTGTGTCAGAGGTTAGAGTGTCGGCCCGCGGACAGAAGATGTTGAGGGTTTGATTCCTGGTCAGGGCACGTACCTGGGTTGCCTGTTCATTCCCTGCCCCGGTTGGGGTGCAGGCAGGAGGCAGCCAATTGATGTGTCTCTCTCACATTGATGTTTCTCTTTCTCTCCCTCCCTCCCACTCTATCTAAAAAAGCAACAAAAAATTTAATTCGACTTGCTTCATGGGTTCTCCCAGGATCATTCAAGAGCTCAGTATGGCTGCTTTGCCTTATTGGGACATCTATAAATCCACTAAAATCTGAATCAGAAATCCCTCTTTACAGCCAACAGGAGGTGGAGCAGGAAAAACCAATCCAGACCTGTAGGTAATTGAGGTCAAGATTACTATTCTTCAACAATAGTCTCTGTAATTTCTTTATCCTGCTGTCTTAAGAAGCAGTGTCAAGATTCTGTAGATGCTGGGGACATCATTAAACATTAGGGCAGAGGTCAACAAACTTTTTCTGCAAAGGTGACAGATAAATATTTTGGCTTTGGGGTCTCAACTCTGCCCCTGGAGGGTGGAAGCCTGAATGGGTAGGGCTGTTTTTGAATAAAACTTACTTACAAAACTTACCTACTTTTAGTCTAGAGATTGGGGACCTGTTTAGATTTGGCCCTCGGGCTGTAGTTTTGAATCCCCAATCTCTAGACTAAAAGTACTAATGCAAGTTGGAGAAAGAAATCATGGTTGGGAGTTCAATAACAGTAGGATGAGAGTGGCACCAACACTTCAGTTGGTGCCAAGCACTGTTGAAAGTGGTGTCATTTTAGGGATTGCTGTCCTAGTCACCTCTAGCATCCATGTTCTTCACTGCTGACTTGGAGAGTTTGGGGCAATCTGGAGGGATCCACTGAACCATATCATTTATCTGAGGAAGGCACTGAGAGTGTAGGTCAGAAACTTTTAGTTGTTTTGAGAAAATCTACTTGGAAAAAAATTGTCAGTAGCAGCCTCTCGGAAGTATAATTAGTGTTAGCAAAGTCACCTTCAAATGAAAATGCTTCTCTCCATCCTCACTGCCCTTTTTATGTTTTTGAGAAAAAGCCTCAACGTCTCTTTATAGGAATTGAGTTTTCTTTCAGGCCTAGAAGTTGTAAGAATTGTACAAAGAATTATGGTATAGTCTACTAGATTCTCAGATGTTAATATTTTATATTTGCTTTATCATCTCTCTACAACTTTGTGTGTGTGTGTATACATATGTAAATTTTTTCTGAACAGTTTAACATATATATTTTATTTTTCAAATTCTTACCCAAGGATATTTTCCATTGCTTTTCAGAGAGAGTGGAAGGGAGAGAGAGGAGAGAGAGAGAAGCTTTGATGTGAGAGAGACACATCGATTGGTTGCATCGGGGATCAAGCCTGCAACCAAGGTATGTGCCCTTGGCTGGAATCAAACCGATTCTGGGACCCTTTAGTCCGAGGGCCGATGCTATAACCACTGAGCCAAAGTGGCTAGGGCTTAACATATATCTTTACTTTTAAATATTTAAGTGTCTGTTTCTTAAAAACAAGGACATTCCCTTGTATAACCACAGTACCATTAACAAAACTAAGAATTTATCATTATGCAGCTCTATTATCTAAGCAATAGATCTAATTCAGATTTTATTAATTATCCCAGTAATGTCCTTTATAGTGAAGGAAAAGGGGACTCCTTTATGAATTTTGATGAATATATTTTTTTCCAAGAATATTTGGCCCCCATGATGATACTATTGTGGATGTGTCTGCCAGGGCTATGCGTGGTCAGCCTGTGTTAAACACATGACCTTAGCAGACTTCCCTATGCTTTTGTTCATTTTCTGTTTTAGATCATGTTAACTAGTTCTCTTTGGTTGTTCACTCTGCCTCTGAGAGGTTGCACTTGCCTGACATCTGTTGTGTGGGTCAGCAACCTCTGGGACGGTCCCTGCATCTGCCACCTGCCATTGTTTTTTGTTCTGTTACTTATTGTAATGATTGCTCAAGTTGGGAGTTAATTTTCTTTTGTTTTTATGTTGCTAGTTAGGATTATAAATTCCCTTAACATTTTGGCACATGATAGTTGTTTGGTTTGGTTTCTATAAAATTGTGAGGTGGACAGAGGAGATTAGGACATTTAGCCCTGGACTCCTGACCACCTCCTTCCCCAAGCTTTGCAGCATGAGGCAATAAACAGGAGGAGCAGATGGGTGATAAAAGGATTTCAGTTTCTGGAGGGAGCTGGAAGATGGATGGATGCACTGGCCTAAACTCCAGGGAAAGGAAATAAGAACACATGCTGATGGTTAACATGTGGGCTTAGTTAACTGGACACAAAATGTGTTACTGTGGGAACGTGCTCTGCTTCCTCCCTACACCACCCCCACTTCTTCGCTGCTCTCTGGTCTCATGTTCCCTTAATAAATATTCATGGTGTATCAGATAAGGGGAGCATTTAGGGATGGGCCTATCTCTGTAAAAGGGGGACACACCTACATCAAAGGTTGGGAAGATGAAATGAGATAATGTTTAATATAGTGCTCAAGATTCAATAAACGGTAGCTCCTATAATTATTGTTATCACCAACTTTACCTGCCAGAACCTGTATCTTTTTATGCTTGTCAACCTCAAATGGTGCTGTTTTAATTGACAGAAGTTTGCATATAGTCTGAATTTTGTCTTTTATAAACTTACACCATAAAATTTTAGATATTTAGAATTGGACAGGAGCTTAGAGGTGTTTAAGTTAGTACCAGTTGCTGATTAAAAACTTGGCTGTTGTAAAGTATATACTTGTTATAAGTGCAAGAACCCATGATAACTTTGCGCTTCTACTGTGAGGAACCAGCCAGTACCACATGTAGGCCCACATTCTGAGGGTGTAGAACCTCATAGCCCCCATGTCCCAGCAGCAGGGTAAAGGCAGAAAAGGGAGGCCCCTGTGAAGGCCAGTGTATGACTCCAGGTGTCCGCAGAATGTGTATCATGAGAGGATTTGCCCACAGATGGAACACAAGTAAGAGAAAAACCAAGGGCTGAAGGTTTTTGGTTAAGCAACTGGGTGTTACCATAAAATGAGATGGAAAGTCTGGAAGGAGCAGGTTGATTGTGGGGTGGGTATTGGGTTCAGTTTGGCATGTTACAATTGGGACTAGACACTCAGGGGAGCTGTCCAGCAGGCTGTTTGCTTCATGGATCTGGAGTTCACTTGTGAGGTCTGAGTTGAAAGGTGAATCTGTGCCATCAGCGCATAGGTGGTATTTCAGGATGATTGAGAAGAGGTCCAGCACTGGGCCCTGGGCCCTCCACGTCAGGGAGATGATGCAGACCTTCAAAAAAACCTCTGCAAGACCAGGCCAGGAAGGTGAGGGAAGCTGGCTGTGGAGGAGGCGGGAATGGGCAGGGCAGGCTGAATGGGGGCAGTTTGGTTGGTGGAAAAGCCAGAGTCTGATTGACTGGCTTTAGAGAGAATGTGAAGGGAGGAGATGGAGATAGCATGGTTAGGCAATTCTGAGGAATTCTGCTCTGAATGGAAGCAGAGGAATGGAGATGGAGGGGAGGTGGGGAAATAGCAGTGCAATGTGTACTGGGAATGACCTGAGAGGCAAATGATGAGGGACTCAGAACTGCTGCAGTGCGGGGCCCCAGGCTGTGGAGAGGGAAGGGCATGCTTGTGAACAGGAGTGAGGCCAGGTGGTGCTCATAGCAGCCACAGGTGGGGAGGCTAAGTTCAAGGGAACTAATGGGGAAGAGAAAGCAAGGTTGCTATCTTACTGAAGAAGAAGGAGCTGGGGTTTGGAAGGGAAAGGAGAAAGTATGACACAGTGGTCCAGGAGAAAGGAAGTGTTCATAGAGGAGGGAAGGGCTGTTTTGTGTCTGCAGCCTCAGGCATACTTGGGCAAGTGGATATGGCTGTGTGTGATGGATGCACACGAGTTGTAGGCTATATACTTATTACTTTGTTTTAGAAAAACAATTTCACAGGTGATAAATGAACATGGGGTTATAGAAAATTCAACAGTTCAGAAGGATCAAGAATGATGGGCAGCCCTGGTGGCATGGCTCAGTGGTTAGAGCATCGGCCTGCGCACCAGAGGGTTGTGGGTTCAATTTCTGGTCAAGGGCATGTGCCTGGTTGCAGATTTGATCCCCGCACCAGAGGGTTGTGGGTTCAATTCCTGGTCAAGGGCATGTGCCTGGTTGCAGATTTGATCCCCGTCCCAGGTTGGGGTATGTGCGGGAGGCAACCGATCGATGTGTCTCTCATCGATGTTTCACTCTCTTCCTTCCCTCTCCTTCCACTCTCTAAAAAGCAATGGAAATAATATCCTCACTCCTCAGGTGAGGATTAAAAAAAAAAGAATGAAGGTCAGCTCATGTTGTCTATATTCCTTCTCTCATGGGTAACCTTAAGTTCAGTGTGTATCATTTCAGACCATCTGGTATACATTTACTCACAGGGACATATGACTACAATACGCAACTCTTAGAAAACAGAATAGAGGTCATATACATACTGTTTTGCAATTTTCCTTTTATATTCCTGTTAGTATTATATTCTGGAGACCTTTCCATTGTGGTTCATGTAATTAAACCAGTCTCACATTAGTGTCTGCAGTGTTTTACTCATTTACCACTCCCCTAAGATGAAGCAATGGAGGACTTAGGTTGCTGATTTGGTTGGTGGGCTCTTTTTTTATGTGCACCCTAGAAGCTCTCTTCAGCCACTTGAGAGGTTAGGATTCAGGATTTTATGGTGAGTTTGGAGTGTTAAGTCACTTGCAGTACTTTTAGAAACCAGGAAAAAGCTTGAATTGGGCCCTTGAAATTTTCCACTAGCCTTTTCTGAGAAACATGTATTTAACCTGGAAGCCGTGGATCATGAATGGACTTCAGGGTGGCTGATGTGGCAGAGTCCAAAATACGTTGTTTTAAAGCAGGGTTCTAACTAGTCATTGCCACTAAAGACATCATTGAACATTAATCTCAGTCCAGTTGTTTTATTATATTAAGACTGGACTGTCTCCAGGACTTCTGAGAAATGGCAAATTTAATTTGCCAGAATGGCAACCGCATATATTGCTCCGTTCCAGTTTTCTTGGGCTTGTTGCCCTAGTTTTTTCTATTCAAGCCTTCACTGTTAGCAGAATTTTAAATGACTCTTTATCCTGGCCACAAAATCCGTTTGAGTAAACAACTTGGGTAATGTATGGTGTCTCATTTGGAAGAGGTTAGGATTCAGGATTTTCTGGTGAGTTTGGAGTATTTTCTTGAGCAACTTGCAGAACTTTCAGAAGCCAGGGAAAGGCTTGAAAAGGCCCTTGAAAACTTTCCACTAGACCTTTATGAGAGACAGGTATTAAACCTGAAAGCTATGGATCCAGGGCCATCATGAATGGGCGTCAGGGTGTATCACTTAGGTCAAGCTTGGCTGCATGTGACAGACTGCAAAATACGTTGTTTTAAAGCAAGTGGTTATTTTCCTTTCTTATGAGGAAGTCTGGGGTAGGCAGTCCAGGATGTGTGGCAGCTCCATAGATGTGAGGACCCCAAGCTACTTTTTTGTTTTTTGCTCCGTTGTTCTAGCTCCTGTCCATCTTCATCCCTGATGTCCAGCAGCAGCAAGACAATAAGAAGGGAGAGCCATGTCCATTACTAGTTTTGTACTGTGTCTGATCTCATGTTCCATTGCCTCGAACTTGGCCATGTAGCCACAGTGTGTTGTAGGAGAGGCGGGGAGCTTTCCTCTGGTGGCCACATGGCCCTATAAATTAAAGCTCTTACACTGGTATTGGTGAAGTTCGTGAAACTTGGCAGAATGTTGTCTGTCTGTGCACTTTTCCAGGGAAAGAGTCCACCTTTTTAAAAAAATTAGATTCTGAAAGCAGTCTCTGACTCTAAAATGTTTTAAGTCTCTCAAGTCAAAGATCAGTTGGGTGGTATCTAACTGAGGACTACCACCTTCATTACAGAGTTCAGTGTATCCCTTTAATAATTTTTGCTTTGGTTCTTAATTTGGAAAAAAGAAGACTGAGTTTATGGCATGAGTAGCTTTGATCTTCAAACTGACCACCAGTTAATCTGTACTTAGAGGTTATCTTCAGAGGACACAGATTTAGCAAGACACCTTATTTCCTTATCCTGACAGGTTCTCCTGGAGCAGTTGCTGAGGATGAAGGTTGAAGAAACTCCCAGTGTTCAGCACAGGCACCAGGTTCAGAGAATATTACTGGATATAACTGAGGTTGGAATTGAGAATTTCCCCCACAGTTTATGCCTAAATATTTAGTGTGTTATGCCTAAATATTTAGTTGTCTGGCCATCTTTAAAAAGTGTTTGGTTTTATTTTAATTTTTGAAAAGATGATAAACGCACTTGATAAAAAATGCAAATAGTATAAAAAGGTGAAAAGTGAAAATAATTTCCTTTTTACACTTTATGTTCCAGGGCTATTCTGTTTATATCTAGCTTATTTTTTTTAAAAAAAGCATGTTGTACCCATTCTGCCCTATTTATATTCATGTAATAATGCATCTTGGGAGTTGTCCATAGAGATATTTGCCTCCTTTTACAGTTGTTTGAAATTGCATTGTTTGGCTCTGTCATACTGTTTGCTGTTGATGTACATATAGGTTGCATCCATTCTTTCGATGCTAAAAGCAATGCCTTAGTTGTTTTTTTTATGTAGATCTTTGCACAGATAATGTATGTGAAACTGTGCTTGAAGGATTCCTGAATGGAGAATGGTGTGGTCAGGGCTGTGGCCGAGCATTTTGATAGCTGTCTTGCTTGTTGCTCTTCAGGGTTATGCTTCTACCAGAAGTGCAGGAGGGCTATTTTTCCTATTTTCTGATACTTTTCCAGTACAATGTACCACACTGAGTGAGTGTTGATTTGGTTTTCTTTCTTAAAGTCTCCCGTTATACATATGTTGGATTGTCTTTGTCACTTTGCTGCTTTTTCTTGAACTCTTTTCAGTTCTTTTTTATTCTTAAAATATTCCTCCTTTTCTCACTTGTTTTTCTGAAGGCATAATTTATTGTGTTTATTTATTCTTGGGTTCCTTCTAGTTTTCATTTCCAAAATTATTTTTCTTTTGTTTCTAATCTTTCCTGAGTTCTTTCACTTCATTTTTGAGCTTTTCTCATGATGGTTTAGGGTTAAAATACCATATTTCCTTCATGTATTTTAACTTGTTTTGAAATACCAGGGTAGTATTTTCATCTCTTTTGGGGACATCTTTCTAGCGTGCTTTCACTGACTGTGCTGATGTTAGGTTGTTCCTTGTTCTGTTTTAAAACAAATACTGGTACTCAGTACTTTTTCTTGTTTATTTTGATTTGGAATTAATTTTCCTGAATATTTAGAAGGGAGGCTTTATTTAGAATAGTTTTTCTAATTTCAGTGTTCTAGAGCTCTATTTTATATGCTTTTTAGGAAGTTTAAAAAAATGTAGCAGTTCATTTTCTGAACTCTCCTGGCTCTGTTTTTCTCTCCCACTTTTAATTAGACTTTTTTTTTGCCTCTGTCACTGTTTCCCCTGTCCTGTACATTTTGTATTCTGTTCCCAGTCATTTCTTTTCAGTGTGTTTGGACTAAAGGGAGCTTTGGATGATTATTTTTAAGAGTTCATGGGGCCCAGAATGTTCTAAGCCTTCCGGACTTTACTGCAGACTTCTTGTATTTGTCTACTGTGGGGTTGTGCTCACTGGTTTCAGCTGCTGTTCTCAAGTTGACACATTGCTTCTCTCTGCTTCCTGCTTCATATGCACTTTTACCGTGATGATCTTGTAGCTGTCAGTGGTGTGTCTCCACTTGCTTCTGTTTTGGGGTTTGTTAGGAAGACCTTATCACTTAGTTCTGTTATAGACATTGACCTGGATTTTGGTTTTGCTATCCTAGCTGCTCCATGTGTTTTTATGGGGGGGACTTGCAAAGATAAAAATTCTTTTACTAAAGTGCTCAGTTGAAGTTCCTCTGAGATCCTTTGTTTCTCATCCAGATTGTTGATTATCAATCTCTTTTTTTTAAAGGACAGTTGATACTTTCTCACTGCATTCAGTCTTGTGTGAAGTGTATAAACTGGGAATAAAAACAGCTTTGCCATCTTAATGATCAAACATTTGATCAGATGTTTATTCTATAAAGGAAGATTTAAGAGAGAAGAATGGTTCTTCCTACAACTTCTTTTCCATATGAAATTCTGGAGCTGCTACCATTTAAGTGGTAGAATTTAAATCTGAACAAAAGAGAAGAGGAAACATATTGTTGATAGGCTTTAAGAACAGGTGTGCAACCTGCAGATTAATTTAATGCCTGTTGGAACTTACCATTAAAAGTTGCCTTCAGGAGATTCTGACTTGAAACTAGATGATCTGAAAATTGTAAGTTATCTCTCTGCTACCCCACAGGAGTTGTGACTAGGGATAGTAAGTACTTACTGATGAAAGGAGCTGTGCTGTAGTTGAGTGCATGGTTTCTCCCCTCAGGGAGAATGTAGCCTAGGTGGAGAAATAAAGAATTTCTTTTATAAATATTTACTTATAAATAAATAATATAAAGTAAATATGATAAAAAATACTGACATTGATTCCTGAGTTCTTCAGCACATCCTGTTTTCAGGTACTAAATTTAGATCCCTGGTTGATCATATTTGGAATGACATGGCCTCATTTTTGTTTTGGAAAATAAGGTCTGTCTAGGCCTAATCAAAGTGTTTCAGGATCAGGAAGAAAGTCACTGACTATTCCAGACACAATGCTAGGCTCAGGGATGACAACTCACACCAGAGGTGGCCATAGGATGACAGTGCTCCCGGACACAGCAGTAGGCTAGATGAAACCTGTGTTTCAGGTTTGCGCTGGAAGCCAAGGGGAAACAAAACAGAGGAGCTCACGGGGAGGGTGGGTTTGAGTAGCAGAAATAGAGTATGAAATAGAGGATAAACTTGGCTGATGGGTCCATTTGGGTAATATTTGAGAGGTGAGAGTTGTGTTACTGGTGGAGACAACAGCATGATGGTTTTCTGGGGTGTGGTGTGTGTAGCAGGAGCTGAGGCCCCATGGGGGGCAGGTGGAAGATAGGACGTGTTCTGAGGGCAGTAGGGGACCACTGGAGACTCTTGGCTTGGGGATGATAAGTTTAAGCCATTTTAGAAAGGTGACTTTGGAGGTGGTGTGAGGAATGGATTGATAAAGTGAGAGGCTATCAGGTAGGGGCTAGACAGAGGCAGTGAGCATTTTTTGGGCTGTTGTTTCTCAATTCTCCAAGAATGCTAACCTTTTGGTGGTTTGGGGCAAGAAGAACCCTATATTAAACATTCATGGACATCTGACATCCTCTTTTTAAAAAAAAATTATTATCCTCACCCAAGGATATGTTTATTGATTTTAGAGGAAGAAGGGGAGAGAGAGAGGGAGAAGGGGAGAGAGAGAGAGAAGAGAAACATCGATTGGTTGCCTCCAGACTCACCCTGGGGATTGAACCTGCAACCTAGGTGTGTGCCCTGACTGAGAATTGAACCCACAGCCTTTTGGTGCACAGGGTGACGCTCCAACCAACTGAGCTACCCGGCCAGTGCCTGACATCCTCTTGAATATACATGGTTAGCAATTTTCATTTCACAGGTCAGTATCATTAATCTTTCTCTTTGCCATTGTGTTTGTTTTGTAGGTGATAGAATCCTAGCCCTGTGTGAGTTTGATTCTTGCTCATTTATCGGCCCCTCTCCTCTCACTCTGGATGATGTCAGAACAGGATCTGGCGGACGTGGTGCAGATTGCAGTAGAAGACCTGAGTCCCCATCACCCAGGTATGGAGCTATGGGAGAGTAGATGGACTTTGTTCATTTTTTAAAAATCTAAAAGTGCTTCCAGAAGTTTTCTTTAATCTTTTAAAGAAAGAAACAGAAAAAGTGATGCATGCACTGTATGAAAGATCCATTCTCAGGTGGGTAGGCTTTCAGCATCTTGTCAGCTCTCCTCTCTTCTGATGTGCATAGTCTCTGCTTTCCTCTTCCTGCCCTCACCCACAGGGGCTTCTGTGACAACTTTCTTCCTTATAATTTCCCCCTTTTAAAATTTGCTATTGTATAATGGTCATGGAAATCTTACCATGTTGATATGCACAAAGTGACTGCATTTTTTTTGACAACTACATCGTATTCCACTTATAGGTGCCCCCTCATTTATTGAACTTCCCCCTTGTGGATGGCATTTACATTTTTTTGCACTGTTTTTCTTTCTTATAAACCCCTGCAAAAAGATCCCTGCACATATATCTTCGCAAATATTTTTTTTTATGGTAAATTCCCAGCAGTAGAATTGTTTTGTATGTTCACAGTTTTGATAAGAAACTGACAGATTTCCCTGAAATGTCTTACTAAGTTACTCTTCCATCAGCTGAGTGAGAACAACTTTTTTCCTACACTTGGCTAAGGCTGGTAATTTTTCTTAATGACGTTAAAGTCATACATCTACTTTGAAACCTTAACTAAATATTTGTTTTAAGAAGACCCCTTATAAAGGAAACACTAAACTTCAAGAACTTCACCTATGAAAAAACTTTGTTTACACTTACTTTATTAAAAAATTTCTCAGTAAGTTTTTTTTTTGCCTTAAAGTTTTAAGTGTTTTATATATTTCTGTTAAGTTTATAGTTACAAGTGCACATAATTAAGTTACTGAGTGTCTGGTTCCTGTTTTTCTTTTTAGAATAGTAGAATTGAAATGCTGAATTATTTTTCCCATAGAAAAGAGAATTTTCAGAAATTTCATAAGAAAGCATCATGTCTGTCTTGTATGATCTATTTGATACGTTAATTGAAAAAAAAACTTCTTTTGGAAATTGGTTATGATATGGAAGGGGAGAGTAATATAAATAATTCTGGAATTTGTCATCATTAAAAGTCTGAATTTTAAACAGATTCTTGGACTTGGGGCTCCTATCCATCAGCTTGTTCAACTTTGGCACCTGTTTCATCCCCAGTAGCTTTTCCAGAGCTGTGACCTTCACTGTGAAGCTCCATAAGTTTTCCTAGTTCAAACTTAGACTTCTTTAGCATTTTGATTTTTCTAACAAGGACATCATGGAGTGGATAAATAGATTGGCAAGCTTTTTCTCTGTCTTTTCCAATGATGTCGAAATCAATTTATTGACCACTTCTTTGAAGTCATTTGCCTGCACCTCTCAGGTCATGATTTCCATCATCTTCTTCCGGATTTGGTGGACCTGTTGATCTTGAGTACAGAATGTCTTCCAAATCTTATTGTTGTGTTTTTTTAGTAAAACTAACACAGAATAGATGAAGCAAATAACCATCGGTAGTTTTAACATCAACAGGAGCTTCAATCACAGTCTGCCATTTTTTGACCATGGAGCATGTTTTGTCATAGTAAGATCCATGCCATGGAAATCAGGTGTTTTTTGCCCTGCACATTTAGTAGTTAGCTTGAATTTTCTAAATGCAACTTCATCATTCTGCAGGTCGGCTATGCTCACTTCAAAACCATGACCCTTGAGACCATCAGATGTGATTTTGGTTCCTTGAGTTCTCGTGACTAGTATTTTTCCAGCATTTCTTATATCGAACACAGCTGTTGCTTTCACATCACACCAATCTTTCTTAGAAAATGGATCAACCACTTTCTTCTTGGCTCCCTTATTGCCGGCTTTTGTAAGGCGTTTAATTCTTGCCAACCACCGTGGTGCTGCTCAGAGAGCCAAAAGCTGCTTCTGTTTTTTTAGTAAGATGCACTGTCACCTGTTAATTGGCAAAATCAAGAGTCTTATATCATTGAACAACGTTGGGGATATGAGTGCAGCTATTCAACTATAATTTTCTCTGTGAAAACTAACCAAGTTGTTTAGAGTTAGAACTTGCAGCCTCATTAGCACCACACCTTAAATACCTTTGAACTTAAAAAAGCAGCAGCACTATCACTGTGTATAGCAATTTAAAAAATATTCGTGTTTATATTTTTATAGGTGAACAACAATTTCTTTAGAAAGCACACACTGCAGTTTTATAAAAGAGAAATGTTTCAGTTACATAAAATCTGAGAATTTTTAGAACTATTAAAATTCTGATAACTAACTTCTTACATAAATTCCCTCTCTATAGAGTATAGTCTATGGAAGGCTTAGAGAAGCATTTCTAATCTTGTTTTATTCCATCTCTGTTCCTTAAATAACTGGGAACTACAGTTTATTGACCATTTAATGAAAACCTGTGTGCAGGGCTCTCTCAGGCCTTCATATGCAGAAAGCCTGCAATTTCTTACCCAAAAGAACTTATACACACTCAGCAAGTACTATGGTGCACATGTTTGCATTCAGAGTGGGTTTGAGATTATTTTCCCCCTCATCTCTAAAATATGAAGTTTGTGAAATTTAAAATGAGTATGGGTTCTTTAGTCTAATTCTAAAGGTAATGCACACAAAATTATAAAAAGCAGGGCAGCAAAGGACAAAGAAGAAAAGAAACGTGTAGTCCCCGCAGCCAATGGGAAGTTATTGCTGATCCCGGGTGCCTGTGGCTGTGCTGTGTGCCACAGACACATCTCCTTTTACGTGTCTGCTTTACTGCCCTTTGCTTCCAGCCTGAGGTGCTTCACGCTGCCAAGGAGCATGGAGTCTTCTTTTCTGTAGTTACAGGAACTAGCTGTGTGGCCCTGGACAAGTAACTCAACCTCTCTGGAGTTGTTTCCTATTCAGCAAATTAAAAGGGTTAGAATAATGATTGCCAGGACTTCTCTCTGTCCTCCTAGTCCCAATATAATTACCAGTTTCCTATGGAGGTAAATAGGCTGTGACTAAGGTTCTGAGAACCTGTGTTTTGCTAACCACAAAAACTTGTAGACATGGATTTTCCCCTTTATTACTTAATTAAATGAGCATGCATTTTCATCTATTTCTGTGGAGGTGGTCGAGGCATTTCCTGCCATACAGGATCCACAGTGTATAATACAGAGATCTTAGGTAGGCAGGATGCCTTTTGTTGTCATCAGTCCTTCACTGGTTTCTGCAGAGGATCTTTAGGTAATCACCTCTGGGAGATCACTTTACTCCTCTTGCCTAGAAACTATGAAAGGTTCATGTTAGAGCCATAGGACTATGTAGTATCTTTACACTTAAGAGTTTTGAAATGAATCATCTAGTATGCACAGGTTTAAAGGTATTGACACTCTTTTTTTTAAAATCGACATCTTATTTGGAACTTAAACATGTACCTCCTGTCGAAGTGGCGGTGCATTGATTGAGATGGGGCCTGGGCCTTAGTGACCTGTGCACTTGGCTTTTCCAGTGCTTGCCCCTGACCCTCTCTTAGCAGATGAGAAATCCAATGCCAACCAGATATGCTGTGTCCACATATGTCGACAGCCTTGTGTGAGGGGCGGGGTGGAGTCTATGTTTAGGGGTAGTCACTGTGCCACTGCTGGTGTCACATCATTAGCAGGCACTAGTTGCAGCACTGATGTGCGACTAGGTGGAAGAGGGATAGATTTCCTTGAGTGGAGGTGGTTGGGTACAGGGAGGATTGGAGGGGGAAGAGCTGGGATGGTCAGACAGCATTGTCCAGATGAGGCAGGCATCATCTGTCCACAGTGAGTTTATCCTGCTTGATTGTATCATGGGCTACATTTGAAAGAAGGTCTGACAATATGCGAAAGTGTGCAAACTCCAACGTTTATTCTCCATGGGTAGACACTCTCCCACAAGTGCTACAATAAACGGACTTCTGTGTACACATGTATATATATACAATATTATAATGTGTATGTTCTATGTGTATATTTATATAATATATACTCTCATATGCTGGTACTCATTTCTGGAGAATAGACTCATAAACTGATATTACTGTTAAAAAGTGAGTTAAAGCTATGAACTGGGAGGGCTGTCCACATTACATTGTTAAGTGAAGACAACAGATGCTGACAGATCTATTGGTGTAAGATGGCCTTGGCCCTCTGGTATATATGTAATATGCTTGTCCATGTGTGAGCTTGCAGAAAGAGGCGAGAGAAACACATGAGGCAGCTAACAGTGGTAATTTCAGGCAAGGAGAGAAGGAAAAATACTGCAGCAAAATGGAAAAGCACTCCTGGTATCATGCTCAATAAAAATGATGACTATGATAGTCTGTCCAGAATTGCTAATATGTAAATGTTTAGTGATTGACTAGGTCTAGAGCAAGCAGACAGGGACAGAGAAACACAATTTGCAGAAATGATACGATTGTGGACAATTTTGGTCTTTGATTCTGTGGCAATATTACTGTTTTTGTAGCTAATTTTCGATGAAAGGAAGGCGGTTGTGGCAGGCCTTGAATGTGAGCTGAGTTGCTTCTCTGTGGGGAAGCTATGAAGATTAGCTGAAATTGCTGATGGGGAGGCATTGATTTCAGCGGCACTGTGGAGTAGCTTCCTGTGTAACTTAGAATGTTAAGTTTGGGACTGTTTTGATGATCAACACCTAAGAAGATGTAATAGCCAGATAGATTTTGAATTTGAAACTAGGTAGCCAACAGACAAGCCTTTAAAGTTGGGAAAATATCATTATTATAATGATTTTGTTTTATGCTAAAATTCAGATAGGGTTGCTTAATAGAACATTGAATGAGAAACCTATAGTTTCTGGAGTTAGAATCAACCCAGTGCACATTAGGGAAATTATTTATCCAGTATCTCAGTTTTTCTTTAGATTAAGGAGAGAGCCTATTTTCTTTCTGAAAATTTTAAGTTAAAATGATAAAAAGGCAAAATATGAAATGGGTTGTGCCATTTCTCATTTAACTTTAAGGTGTCAGAATGGTTTACTATCTTAATATTAAAACAGTTGGTAAAACCTTTCACGTTTAAGTCCTTTGTTTCTGCCTTTGGTTTTCAGTTGTATTGGAGAATCATGTAGTGACAGATGAAGATGAGCCAGCTTTGAAACGCCAGCGATTAGAGATCAATTGCCAGGACCCTTCTATAAAGGTAAAAGTACAAATATATTATTTATACCTTAGTTTCCTAGGACTGCCAAAACAAATTGTCAAAAATGGGGAGCCTATCACAACAGAGATTTATCCTCTCACAGCTTTGGAAACCAGAAGTCTGAATGCAAGGTGCAGGCAGGGCTGTGCTCCCTCCAGAGACTCTAGGGGAGGATCTTTCTTACCTCTTCCAGCTTTTGGTGGCTCCAGATGTTCCTTGGCTTGTGGTTGCATCACTCTAGTCTCTGCCTCCATCCTCACATGGCCTCCTCCCTATGTGTTGGTGTCTGTTTCCCTTTTTTTTCTCTTATAAGGATATTGTTAATTGAATTTAGGGGTCACCCTAATCCAGAAAGATCTCACCTCAAGATCCTTGACTTAATTTCATTTACAGAGACCCTTTTCCAAATAACACATTTATAAATTCTGGGGGTTAGGATGTAGATGTATTATTTTTGGGAGTCACCGTTCAACCCCTTATATAGTGCATAAAACCATTTCCCCCCCTTAAAGATTATGAAGAATCAACATTGTGCCCGGCCAACTTGGCTCAGTGGTTGAGCATCCACCTATAAAAGAGGAGGTCATGGTTCGATTCCTAGTCAGGGCACATGCCCGGGTTGTGGGCTCGATCCCCAGTAGGGGGCTTGCAGGAGGCAGCCGATCAATGACTCTGTCCTCATTGATGTTTTTATTCTCTCTCTTCCTCTCCCTGTCTCTCTCTGAAATCAATAAAAACATTAAAAAAAAAAAAAAAGAATCAACATTGTTTAGATTGAGATTGCTGCCACAGGAGGCATCTTCCTATAGAACCATAGACCAGTTGTGGCCAGAAGGAAAGAGAACAATTTGTGTGGATAATATTTCCCACTAGTGCCGAAATACTTCTTTATCTACCATTTAAGTCACCTAAGTTTTAAAGTTTACTAGATGTGGTCTTGGAAACCACTGAGTCAGTCAGTCAGTTAGTGATTTTGGATCTGTGGATTTACCTTTTTGGTTTAGTGTTTACAGAGTCATGGGGATAAATATCAGCACATGTGAGAAGTTCAAGAAAGCAATGCAAATGAAGACCATAGTAGATTTTTATGTAATCCCTCTATTTATATGGGGTGTGTGTTTAGAAACATCATATCCCCCCAAATGTAACAATTTTGTTAACAAGGGGAAACAGTATAAGCTTAAACATGTAGGTGATTTAAAAGTATATTCACAGTTAAATTAATGTTTTGGACTTAGGATAGAAGGTGACTACATTAGTAACACCAAATTATCATATTTTAAAATGCAGTTCTAATTTTACCACCAGAGATACATTCATTATAAACATAAACAATACAAAAATGTATAAAGTAAAAAACGAAAGTGGTCCAGCCTCAGTCCTAGTTCCACTGTGAATAAGTTAGACTTTGGGCCATAGTTTGAATACTGCTACATGTGTGTACTGTTTGGAAAAGTTTGCTCACCAAATTGCCAAGGCATGAATAAATTTAAATATTTATGGTTAATATCACTTGTATATAAAAGACTTATTCAAAAATACTATTCTCTGCTCCTCTTTGTATTAATTTGTTTGATAATTTTTTTATTAGTACATAACAGTGAATCTTGCCCAAACTCCAGGCAGAATCATTTGTAATTCAGAGTTGAAATAATAAGGTTTTACTGTGTTTTAAGAATTCAGGAGCCAAATGTTTGATGTCTTCAAATGGTAAAGAATAGTGGTGTTATAAGTGATTTTGTCTCAAGAATTCAGCCACCAATGAGTTGTTCTAATGTTAACTTACATCAGAGTGAACCATGGAAGTTACCTCTTTGTAGATCCCGGGTGATGGAATGTCTGCACTGTGTGTGTCTCTGCCTGGCCCTCTGTCATACACTTGCTCCAACATCCTGTTCTCCTGAAGGCAGTCAGCGGGGGACATAGAGGTTAGCCCCTTGCTTTGTATGTTAGCACTCATGATGAGTCTCATCAGGGGGCGTGATTGCTTGAGACAAAGTGAGTTGTTTGGACAGTGTGTGGGTTTTGTTTACTGCATTGCTGCCCCTTACTGCCATATCTACCAGGCAATTAGACAAGTACATTTAACTTCTTCACAAGATAAGCTCAGTCTGTTGAAAATGTACTGATTAAGAGTATACATTTTTTCTTTCTCCCAGGCCTTGATGCAGCTGCGTGATGTGATATAGCTCTAGTTTTGCTATTTTGCTTCAGATTAGGAAAGCAGGCCCAGCTAATGCTGTACTCCAGCAACAGTTAGATGGCATGCCCTGTCAGCCAAACGGAGGCCAGCCTTTTACTGTGGGCAGACAAGCAGAGAGAAAGACGAAAGGCAGATTCTTCATTATTTTCATCTGCTGACTCTCAAGCCAGCCTTTCTACTAAATTGAGCTATTGGATACTTTATGAACTTGCTCCTAACTAGTACTCTTAATCCTTTTACCAGCTGATGAGATCGGCTTAGGGTGTTCATTGCGGTGTAAGTCTTACTTGAAAACATGCTTCTATCTGTATTCTTGTCGACTCACGGCAGAAATGGCAGTTGTGGGAAGTGAAGAGCTTTCCTGTCTGGTGTATGTATTTGATCCATTTCTTGGGTCCGGAGTCATGCATGTCTCTGCTTACTGTAATCGATCGGAGTTAGTAATTGGGATTTGGCTCAGAAATGATAATAGAATGTGAGGTTGCTCTTCATGTTGACCACTAGGTGGCAGGTGTGCTGTTCGTACTCTACCAAATTTTAACATCAGGGCAGTGGGGATAATGTGAATGTGCAGGACCAATGGTTTCCATGCTGTTTTGATGTTACATGTAAATGTGTTTTTATAGTTAGAAAGATGTGACTAGTTTTATATGTAAATTTACTGATTAATAGGACATCCTAAAAACTACATACATTTTTATCATATGGTCTTAAGCATTACTAAGGATCACAGTTACACATGGAAGTAAACCCATGATTTAAGTAGTCACATTTTAAATATAAGAGGTTGAACTTGTTTACTCAAATGTTTCTGGCTTATAACTAAAGAGCTAAAGTGCAGGGATTATTCTATTGGAGTAGATACGATTCAAATTAGGAAATAGCCATTTGATGTTCCTTGGAACTTTCTCCTTAAAGTTCAAGATATCCCTTCTGAAGTTTTTCTTTTTTTCACTTCCAGTCATTCCTGTATTCCATTAACCAGACAATATGCTTGCGATTGGATAGCATTGAAGCCAAGCTGCAAGCTCTCGAGGCTACTTGTAAATCATTAGAAGAAAAGCTGGATCTAGTCACGAACAAGCAGCACAGTCCCATCCAAGTCCCCATGGTGGCAGGCTCCCCTCTCGGCGCGACGCAGACGTGCAACAAAGTGCGATGGTAAGAACAGACCAGTGGGCTGTGGTCACCTCCTCCCCCAGGCTCCCCTGATTGGTTACCCAAGTTGTAGTATACATAGGGCATCTGCCTCTGCAGCTTCACAGCACCTATTTCACTTAGACCCAAACTAAACACGTGACACCCTGTTGGACTGACTTGGAGTCATCCTCACATTTTCTTTCTAACATAAACCAGACTGGTGAATCTTTTCTTTGGAATTAACCCACCAGATCTTTGAAGATGTGCATTTGTTTCTTTCTTTTTTTTTCTATCTGGCAAGTTCTTAGATATTTTTTCTCCATATTAGTATTTATAAATTTTACTTGAGTACATCAAATTTTCCATTCACATCTGTAGTTTTTATTTTACCAATTAAAAAAAATATATTTAGAGCCTTATGTTAGTGGGAAGTGTAGTAGTAGTGTATGTGCCATTTGAACAGAAACTTTATTAAGAATTTGGTTAGATTGGAAAGATGTGTTAAAGTCTTTGACCTGTTTATGTATTCATTAGTCCACAGAACCCTGTCACCTACTTGAGCTTCCGAAACGAGCTAAAGCTCAGGCTCTGGGTAGCAGTTCCATTAGTCCTATTGGCATTTTTGTGCTTTCCCACAGCAGGTTACAAAGAAGCCATATTTGTGGCAGTGGCAAAATTTGTCTTTGTACTTGAGGAGAACTTGAAGCATTTTTACTGAGGGCTCTTCTGTTTTGGTTCCCTGGACAGACAGCTGCCTCCTGCCTTATGTGGCTGTGAGGAGGGAGGGCAGTGAGATGTTGGGGTGGAGTAGGGTTGTCAGGGTAGATGCAAAGGAGTGGGAGTCATATTGAGACAGAAAGACAGTAGTTGGCTTTGCTGCCAGGGTTGGCTGGGTTCTGCCCTCGCCCTGTGCTCTGGGGACAGGAGCGGCATTAGGGGCTTTGTGGACTTTTCAGGGGAATGTGGGATTGAGGAAGGGTTCCTGGTTGGTTTGGGGATGCTCACAAACATGCCTCAGTTTCAGGGTGGCCACCTGTTCTGGTTTGTCTGGGACAGCTGTGGATGATGCCTGCTGGGTGGGCATAATTGCTTCCTTTGACTCTCAGAGATGTCCTGGTGTATTTGAAACTCTGCATGGCCCCTACACCTGATCTCCAGGTTGGGGCCAGGGACTCCAGGGATCTCATTCCCCATAGGGGAATATGAGGCAGTCCACGGTGCTGCTGTGAGACAGGGCCTTTTGCCCTAGTTTATATTTTGTCCTAACAGATCACCCATGTGTTTACTCCCAGCAAACATTTGTTGAGCATGTCCTCTGTGCAGGCAGTGAGTCTCAGACCTTTCAGACCCAGTGCTTTTTTTAAGATTAATTTTTTTGTAATGCCCTCTTATTCTAAAATGCAATGTTTAGAAAATGTAATTTATAATTAAAATATGAATATAATGCCTTAAGTGTAATGGAAGGAGAAACAGAAAGGTAGTAGTGTATAATAAAATAGCATATGTTTCATTATGTAAATGGTTGGATTAGCTACATAAAGCGGCAGTGAATATGCCAGATGCTCAAACCTCCCGTGTTGAGTCCTGGTGACTCATGCTAGTTGGTGATGGACTAGTACAAAATGATGAGCAATTTTGATGAAGTTTCAAATAAAGCAAAGTGTAATTTTTTCTGGACTTCAACAGTTGTTGAATTCCTAGAAAATTCAATTCTTACAACTATCCAAAAATATTTTGTGTGTAAATATAGAATGGAGTAAGATTCTGGGCTCAGAGAGTTAGAAGCATGTTTTTCACTCATGAATGTCTGGGACATTTGAACTTTGTACAGGAAGATTTTTCTGCTAGTTGAGACTGTCTTCTGCATTGAAGGATATCTTAATGTCCTTGGCCTATACCCACTAAATCTCAGTGGTATCTCTTAATTCTAATAACCAGGTATGTCCCATTGGATTCCCACCCGCCCCCTGGGAACCTTCATTGAGAACAATTGCTCTAAGGGATGAGAAAAGAGTGAATGACATGCTTCCTGCCCATTAGTAAGAAGCTTGCACGTTCTAAGGACGGTCCTCCTTGGTGGGGTATTGCTTCTTTACCTGTGTTTGGAAGATGTAATCCTCATGAGATGAGTCAGGGAGAGTGTTGACAAAATCTGTCCATTCATATTCAGTCTTCGATTATTCGTGATGGTTCCATCAGGGTAAGGTCTTTGAGGGTGAGTGCCCAGGGACTGAAGAGCTATTACAGTTATGGTTTGCACCTCCAGGATGACTTGTTTTGGGATTCCTTCTGTGTCAGGAGGAAGAACAGGCCTCTGCCTGTTACAAGTTACCCTGGTTTGAAACAGCTGGGATGACCTGGACCAAGTCATATAGTTGTGTTGATTGCCAGTCTTGTCAGCTTTAAAAAGACCAGAAGAAGGTGACTTAGGCTAGCTCTGGGGCCCATCAGTTTCTCTCACTGTTCTAATAACAAAACTGCCTATACTCACTCATGCAGGTGGGCAGGAGAGAGGGTGGCACCACTTCTGTTGAGGTTTCCCTCCTGACTGGTAAGCCATAATCCTTTGGGTTTTGAGTTGTTTGACAACAGAGCTACTTGCTTAGGTAAAGAAAGGCATTTCCAGGACCTGCCATCTTTCTGACTTTCTTTAGCATTATAGTGATTGCAGGGCTAGTGGAAAGAACCATTAACAACTTTCCTAGTCAGAAATTCTACTGTGCTTCCCTCTGCGGGCAGAAGGTTTTATCATTTAGAGCCTTGCCATAGTTTTTTCTGTGTGTATAACAAGTAGTAAAGTTTTTTAATACTAAATCAGATGTATAATCTAGTTGGGTTTTCTGGTTTTAAAGAATTGTATTGGGTGAGATAAAATCAACCTATTATAGAATATACTTACTGTATATTGAAATAAGACTTTTTGATATTGTTTATACAACCATTACTAATGAAAGTTAATGTAAGACTATTTGGAGGAAAAATCTATTTTCTCATAGGCATAGTTTTAAATAGGATGTATGTGAATTTTTAAAGAAGATACTAAATCTGCCATTTCTCTCTGGATAAGCTCTGAAAATGAGAAAAAAAATTACCAACAATTGAAAGCTGTTAACAAGGAATTTTGGGGGAATTAAAGGATAAGAATTTAATCCCAGTATATCAATGAAAAAATATATTTAAATTAGAAAGTTACTAATTTGTAAACACAGATAAGTAAACGAGAATTGTGTGCTTTAAATGTAGCAAGTAGAACATAGAAAGGGAAAGTCTCCCAAAACAGTTAAAAACTGGTTAACATTCTGAGTAATAAGGTCCTTCTACAATGTATTTATTTTGAGCCTCAGATATTTAAAATAAAGGTTAGAACTATGTAAGTCCTAGATTATTTTATATCCAAATGGATGCTTTAAAAAATTACTTAAGATTCCTTAGGCCTACTTGCATTTGCTATGAGTGATTTTTTGGGAAGTCTGAGTGTAATCTCACAGCTTGAATGCAGATACTGTAAAGGTCTTTTCAGTTATAATAAGGCCTGTAGATAGTGGATGATAAGCTGTACCGCTCTCTCTTCCCTTTGGAGAGGCTGCACATGGCCCAGAGCCAGCCCCACCTGCAGGGGCTGGTGCAGCCTCTCAGCTTGGGGCCCACCTCTGGATCCCTCTCTGCATACCGAAATCCACTCACCTGTTAGTTATTTCTAATTAAAACTGGCCTGGACTAGACCATGTTATCATCTCTGAGAGTTATTGTCTTCCCTGGAGGATAGAAGGCAGTGGACTGCTGCCAACCTTGACTGGCATTTTGGATCCAGATTTTCAGATTCCACACCTGAATGAGATTCTTTAAATAAATTTAAGAAAGAAACAAAGAAAATCTTTGATGCTAAAACTTAATCATTATAATAAAATGTGAGGTTATTTGGGTGGGATCTCACCCAACAACAGTGTTCTACTTGAGGAATAGAAAAATGGACTTGAATTCTTTTAAGTAGGTACTTTTTTTCTTCCTCTCAAGTGTGCCAGTATTTGGATTTTGCTTATTGTCATTCCAGGAGTAGCAACTGGAGGTTTAAACGCTAAAGTTGTTTCGCATTGGTATTGAGGAAGTCCTTATAGAGTAGAGTAGGCTTGTCTTTTAAATGCCCAGCTGTGAGCATTTCAGGAAGGGCTTTCATTTTATTAATTGGATTGAAGGGATCAAGTGTATGGACAAGGACATTTATACTATAGATCAGTGTGGAAACCCCTTTGCACTTTTTTGAGTTTAGACATAGAATCAATTGAAGAAAGTACACTAGTAGGACACAGCTGAACCTGGTGTTGGCCCGATGTGGGGTGCTGTCCTAGTTGATGACCCCTCTAGAATGCCAGCATGCAATGCATGGATCCTGGGATAGAATACCGGCTTGTCCAGTGGGATCTTATAGAAACAGATTATTTGATAAATCAGACAGCAACTCAAAACCCAGGTGTTTGGGGTTTGTTTTCATTAACTGAACATATTGACTAACTAGAAAAATGCTTATATTTCTTACTTTTCAAAGTAATAGATTTCTATTTTGTTATTTTTTAAAAATATGTTTTTATGGATTTTAGAGAGAGAGAGGAAGGGAGAGAGAGAAATACTGATGAAAGAGAAATATCATCCGGCTGTTTCTTACATGCCCCTCCTGGGGATTGAACCGCAACCCTAGTATGTCCCCTGACCGGGAATTGAACCAGCGACCTCTGGGTGCATGGGACAATGCTCAACCGAGACATATCGGCCCAGGCTCTATTTTGCTATTTTCATTTTTTGTATGCACAAGTTGTTTATTTTTTTAAAATTGATTTTAGAGAGAGGAAGGGGGAGAGAGAAACATCGACTTTCGATTGATGAAACCATCACTGGGGATGGAACCTAAAACCTGGGTGTGTACCCTGACCAGGAATCAAACCCCCACCTTGCCATCTTTTGGTGTACGGGACGATGCTCCAGCCAATTGAGCCACATCAGCCAGGGCACACAAGTGGTTTATTTTT